ATCCCATGTGTGGATACTGCTGCTACTTGTCTTCTAAGAGCAGCCAAAGATTCAAAAGGACCCTTGTGTTGTACACCTTACTAACAAAAGATGGACAGCCTCATCTCTCTCTCTCTCAGTGCTGTGAATACCAATACCACCATCACATCTAGATGTTTCCCATAGCCTATCACCATTGCTCCATCTTGTTTGGACTGAGCTTCAGACAGCTAGCTATTATCCAGACCCCATTAAGCAGACACAGGGAAAGCTGAGAGACTGCACCATCTGGATCTGATAAGAGAGACACTGAGGTGAATGTCACCATCATATTGATGGTAATGGAACCCAAACTGCCTCATTGTCTCCTCCCACAGCCTTATACATGCATTAAACAGGAAGGATGATGAAAATCTCCCAGGACAGAATATCAAGTGTCCAACATTAGAATTTCAGTGAAAAGAATGGAGCCACCAAATTTCATCCCTGCTTAGATCACAGCCATGTCAACACTTCACAATCAAGGGTATCAAATGTAATCAATGGATCAAAAAGTTGTCAAAGTCAAATAAAATATCCTGAGATGATTCCTTACCATATCCAGTCTAGATCCAGTTAGAAAGGGATCTAGGAGATCTTAACACTCTAGATATTGCCAGAGTCACTGCACTGTAATCTCAAACTGCATTTGCCTAATGGCCTTCACCAATGCAATTAAAAAAAAAAAACAGAACAAAACCGATGATGGTCGGAATATTTTTCAGATGTGTAAATCCAAAACATTTTAAATCTCACAAGTGGAACTAAAATCTCTTCCAAGTTGCAACTTGCAAAGATCAGCCCCTACATTTTCAAAGCAGAGTGACAGTTGTTAACCACAAGACTCATTATAGTCTAGGAGAGATCCCAATATACTTTTGAAATTTTACCCAAAAGACTCATGATTTCTTGTGCATGTGTTAGGTTATGCATATATTTATGTTTTTTCATAACTGATGTACTTTAATATGCCCCCAACTTAATGAGACTAGACAAAGTTTCAGCGTTTTCTACTAGGTTTTGCTATTTGTTTGCATGCCAAAATTCTGGTGATATTATTGTCTTCTGTTTAACAGACTGTCAATGGTCACCTGACACATCCCACAGTGTTAGCAAGGTTGATCCTGTTGGGAAAGGGTTCCGATGATTTACAGTAGAACCTCAGGGTTACGAACACCTCAGGAATTGAAGTTGTTCGTAACTCTGAAGTGTTATAACTTTGAACAAAATGTTATGGTTGTTCTTTCAAACGTTTACAACTGAACATTGACTTACTACAGCTTTGAAACTTCACTATGCAGAAGAAAAATGCTGCTCTTTTTTTTTAGTAGTTTATGTTTAACACAGTACAGTGCTGTATTAGCTTTTTTTTGGTGTGTGTGTGGGGGCGGGGAGGGGAGGAGTCTCTGCTGCTGCCTGATTGTGTACTTCCGGTTCCAAATGAGGTATGTGGTTGATCGGTCAGTTCGTAACTCTGGTGTTTGTAACTCTGAGGTTCTACTGAGGCACGTGACTCATACCATAACTGGATATTAGGGAGGGGGAGTAACTCCCTGGAAAAAGAGGATCTAGTTTGTGGGCTGAACAATCTTTAAAGAGGAGGTCCAGGAGCAGCCAAGCCTGGATAGAAGGTTTGGATTGGATTTTGTGTTGTTTCATTTTGAGTTTTGTTTTGGGATTTTGTTGTGGGGGGAAAAACCCTAGGAAAAGGGTAAGTTTTGAATCCCTGCAATCGTCTGTGTTTGGAGAAGGGTGGGGAAGCCACCAGACTACATTGCTATAGTCCAACATTTCAGTTGCTAAGGCCTTCTGGAGAAGTCCCTAGTAAAAGAAAGGTTCAAATGTTAGAAATAAAATTGTTTGAGAAGGCTTTGCTTTCAGCAGGAGAGAAATTCAGAGTTGCCATAGCAACCGCCCACGTGCAAAAACAAAACAAAAAACAAAAAACACACACTGCAAAGGAGTTAGCCAAAAAAAGAAGCTATTATTAACAAGCCAATCTGCTGAGATACTAGGTGACAGGGGCCATAGATGTTTGTTGATAGACCAAGATAGAAGATAGCTCAAGTAGGGTCCTGAGTTTAGGTTTAAACACACTCATTGGTAAAAATCACACTGATCCTGCTTTGTTTACTCCACCTGCTCTTAAGGTGAAATCACTGAAATAGTTCCTTGCCTGTTTATATCCTAAAGTGTATTTAGTGCATAGCTGGCTGGAATGCAAAGGGAGCAACAACTGGGATTCTGCAACAATTCCCAAACAATACTTCTGGAAAAAAACAGAAAGCAGAGGGAAGAGTTCAGCTCAGTACTCCAGTAATGCTAACGCTCATGTCAGCCTAGCTGAGTAATGTACATAGCTGATACTGTGCATCCTCTGACTACCCCTGCTAGCAAGGCTCTAATGGAGCCCCAGACACAAATTAAAACTCTTCCCCGGTGAATAATTCTATGGGAGATCAGCTGACAAGAAGTGGGTATATATAAATATCAGGAACAGCCATCCCAAATCCCAGGACATTGCACTTCTTACCCTTACATGTACTAAACTGGGCTTTCTAGCTTTAACAATGAACACCACAAAGCTTTTATAAAATGAATGATGAAAGCAGGAAATATGAATTAAAAAAAATTAAAAGGATAAGTTTCTCCCTATGTTGTGTCATGAGTTAGGGTGTGAATTGCATCATGATCATTCAGTGCATACATATGATCTACCACAACATAATTCAGAATTCAATTCATGTCACTGTTTTATAGCACTGTAGTATAATTAACTATACTGATATATACTATGCAAAGACATATGTAGTCATGAGACCCATGGGCCCCATTTATTTCTGAAGCTAGAGAGAGACCTGGAAAATATGAAATAAACCCCATTTATTTAGTTCTCTGACCTTGTCACCTGCACACTTGCACACCAACTGCACCACAAATACTTCAAGCACTCCAATCTTGTTAATCAGTTTTCGCTCACAGCCACCAGTTTTTCTTCTTAATAAACCCTACAATAAAAATATTTTCTTCTGTCTCAGATCAAATAAGAGTAGGAATTGAAAATGACACAGGTCTGGACCAGTGGGAGTTTGCAAACTGTCAGGGCTACTACAAAATGATCTATACAATTAGAAAGTTGGAAACATTAGTGATATGTGAAATAAAGCTTTTATACTTCGCTCTGACGATTCATTAGATATTGGACCTTAAAATCATGACAATTTTTTTTTAAGAAACTTAGTCTAGAATTGTTTGGCTTTTAAAAAAATGTATTAGTACTATTTTTTTTTCTTTTGCTCTGCAGTGGTTGTAGCAGCTGGTTTTCTTTAGTTACTGTGACTCATGGTTACAATGGGTACAGTTTTATAGATGGATAAGACAAATAGGAGCAATTAAAATGTAAAATTACAACTATTTTGTAAAATAGCTTGAAGCAGATATAGAAGTAAGTTTAAATGCATGAAATGATGCCTCAAATATGTCCCCAAAGCAAGAGAGATTGCTGAACATGAGTGTTGCTCTTTCCTATAGTTGAGATGGATGTTTTACTGTTTGCTTCCCTACTTATTTCCAGATAACACTCGCCTTGTTGTGATGTTGATCAATGCTCCTAGTGTATTCAAGGAACTTTTTGTAAATGCTACATTTAGTGCTACATTTGTTGGCCTTAACACACTTTCTAGAAGCACAAGAAGGTACTCTAGGAACGATGTCTGAAAGTGCACTGGGGGGTCAGTGGACATAAATTGATGCCTGCCAGTAGGAATTCGATTGACAAATATCAATTGTCAGCTCACTAAAGGTTTTCTAAATATAAATAAGCTTAAAAAATAAACATATCCAAAGCAAAGACTACCCCATTTGAAGGCAATAGTTTATCTAATGATGAAATTATCTATTCAGGCCTGTGAGGACCACAGAGCTATACATTTGCCTTGGTGCTCAGATGTCACTTTATGAACTTAGATTAGACCAAGAGGCTCTGAAGTGAGGCCCTGTAGGTGACTATATTAAGAAGAAAAATGTGGATTTGGCTATGAATTGAAAATGTGCTCTGTGAGCTATACTCTATGATTTTTAAACTGTAATGTTTGAATCAGCCTCATTGCTACTTCCTCCTTCACTATCTCCCACCACTTCTTCTACAGCCTCTGCAGCAGCTCTGGTGTGATCCAAGTCTACCCAGAGCAGCTCCTGTCCCTGCCCTGTAACAGATGCTCAGCAGTTCCCCTGCTGGCCATCAGCTATGTCACAGGAGAGGAAGGAAAGAACAGTTCTGGCTGTTTCATTCCCTGCTTCCCTGGCCAAGAGAGCAAGCTAAGGGCTCACCTGGCTTCTCCTGAACTCCAGCAGGGGATTTACAGATGCCTTCCCTTCGCACCACCATCTGAGTGGCACAAAAAGAGACAGGGACAGGAAATCTACTCCAAAGTATTGACTACGGCTGCTTTGTCTTTCTAAAAGATGTCTGGTCCTCAGGCTGGACACCACTAGATTAGATGCACATACAAAAATCCATAGTAACTCCACTGAATTTAATGGAGTTACTCACAATTTACACTAATGTGAGTGCAGAATTTTGCCCAGTGGGGCTCTCTCTTTGACCACTGTTCTATTCCATTACTTAAGGATGAACAGAACTGCCTTTTTCAAACAAACAAACAAACATGAAATATATTTTCCTTTTCATAAAACCAATTCCTCCTCAATGTTTTCCTTATAATCTCCCTATTTCTAGAGCCTGTGAGAGTTGTATCCATGTAACTGATAGCAGAATTTGGCCTAATGGTTCAAATTTTCAAAGGAGCCTCATTACTTTCACACAATATTACACATCTAAGTTTTAGTGGATGGAAAATCTCAGATATGTGACCTATTATTGATAATTATCTTAAATTCAAAAAGTAATAAAAATATTTCAGATTGCTAATACACAGTCTACGCTCAAAGTACAATGAAATTACATGGTATGATGTACTTACAGTCAGATACGTAGCTGCATATACACTAAGAGCTGCTTCTTTGGATGGAAATGTTTTTCTGGCTCTCATAATAAGATCTGGGTTTCCAGTACAGGCATGTGCACCACTGATGAACTGTGTGAACTGTTGACATCCAAGTGCTGTATAGTTGGGTTTACAAAGTGCAAGAAAATGTGGTGCAAGATTCCCTGTTACTACTTGTCCAGCATTTACAAAGATATCTGTAGCAAACAGTCCAAATGCATAGATTCCTAAAGAGGAAAACAAAGTTAATTTCCTACTCCAGTACATTATATATTAATAATACATAAGAACATAAGAATGGCCATATTGGGTCAGACCAATGGTCCATCTAGACCAGTATCCTGTCAGATGTTTCAAAGGGAATGAACAGAACGGGGCAATTATTGAGTGATCCATCCCATCATCTAATCCCAGCATCTGGAAGTCATAGGCTTAGGGACACCCAGAGCATGGGGTTGCATCCCTGACCATCTAAGTTAATAGCCATGTGTTATGTGAAGGGGAAAATAACACTTCCTTATTCACTTTCTCCACACCATTCATGATTTTATAGACCTCTATCATATCTTCCCCACCCACCCCGCAGTCACTTCTTTTCCAAGCTGAACATTTCCAGTCTTTTTAATCTGTCTTCACATGGAAGCTGTTCCGTACATTTAATAGGTCCTGCCATACAAGACACCTCAAAGCACCTCACAGATATTAAGGGTCAGATGGTGGCATTAAGCTCCAAGCTTGTGCTGGAGATGGTCCATACCTGCACAGCCTCACAGGGGCATTGGAAGGTGCCCGAAACTCCCAGCGCCTTGGAGAAGTTCAGTCTCTCCCCACCCTCTAGAAAGGTGCAATACGTTCTTTCCTTCTGCAGGCTGCCTGCTTCACTAGCTCTTACAGTTGAGAAGAGGATCCAGGCTCTACCTCTTTCTAACTTTTTGGGGTAACTAGCGGACTTGCACTTGGAGCATGGGAACTGCAACTTGTCTGGCCCATGGGCGGCAGTGCAAGGGACAGTGGGCAGGCTCTTTCAGCTTTCCATCCAACACACCAGCTCAAGAACCAGGAAAGTCAGGCCTGCATCAATAACTTTAAGACATACTAGGAACCACACATATTTTCGACAAGCATCTCTTTTTTCCCCTCAACTATATAAACTAGCTAAAGTGATGAATTATTTAATATAACTGTACATAAGCCGTTTTCAACTGTCTACCACTGGATACCTTTTTGTGCATGGCATGTTTATCAAAACATCAGCATAGCATGGTAAAGATGTATATATAAGAAATTATTTATGCCAAAGGATTTATCATGAAACACATGTCAGTGAAGTATTAGCCTTTTATATGCATTGTTTTATTAGTGTGGAAATACATTTATCTGATTATTCAAAGAATAATTGCTACTATTTGATGTACACATCATGTTTGTTACCATTCCTGCTGGGAACAGTAGCTAGCACTAGAGGGAAGGACAATCTAGTGATTAGAACACTAGCCTAAGACTTGGCAGAATCTGGCCCAGCCATAGATTTCCTAGACAAGTCATCTAAGCCTTTCTGTGTCTCAGTTCCCCATGTACAAATGGGGATAATATTACTTCCTTATCTGGCAGAGTGTTATGACGATAAATGTATTAACGACTGTGAGGAACCTGGATACTATGGAGGAGAGGGCTGCAGAAGTACCTGTGTGGCTAACGATTACTTTTTTTTTTAGATGACATCTCAGAAAAACTTAGAAGAACCAGAATTATTTTTGAGATGGCTTTGCACCTCTTAACTTCAGAGACAGTAAGTCCAGATGGTTACTGTTCCATACCAATGATCATTTATTTTGGATTGCTAGAAATCATTAAAAGGTGGATTGTGCCTGTGTGGCTCTGTACGGAAGGACTCCCTCAGTCCCCCGGGGGTACACTGCCCTCAAATGGGTAGGAAGGTAATGAAGATGCATGGCTTTGGCCTCACCCCCTCACTGGCCCTAAAGAACAGTAAAATTTACTCCTTCCTACTCTCCCTGATTGCTCTTTGCTTCTGTGCACTCGAGGGTTCATTGAATGAGCAGGAGTGCAGGCACAGATTATACATGTCCCTACATTAAGAAACCAAGTAGAGTGGGGGTAGCTCCTTTACACCATCCCTTCCCATCCCCATAGATCCACACAAAGCCCTGGCACAGTCTGGTCCTTAATGATTTCTACAAGCCCAATATTATTGCTAGTATAAACCTGCTAGCCAGCTGGAATGACAGTCTCTGACGTAAGATAGAGATGCCACAGACATTTTCAGGCTGTAAAAGAATGGCACAGCTGTGCCCTCCCTTTACACACTAGGGCAATAAGGGAGGGATTGTGCATCCCTGAGGCATCACCTCCTGCTCATCTCCATATTTATTCAAAGGTTCCAAAAAATGACATTTGGAAACTATTTTATGGATATTTTAAGTGGTATTTTTTTCCCAAATGAAAGATTACACTGCACTAAACAGCGGCACTGAGATTCTGGCCCTACTGAAGTCACTGGGAGTTTTGTTATTGACTTCAGTGGAGCCAGAGCTTCACCCTAGGTGTATATAACTGCTGAATCAAAGCCTGAATTACAAAGTACCTAAGCATGTGCTTAGCTTTAAGCACATGATTAAGTCCGACTGACTTCAAGTTGGGCATGTGTACATGCTTTGCTGGCAGCCAAGCCAAAGGCCCTAGGAGCTGAGATACCTCTATACTCCCTGTCTGCAGTGGGCCTGGTCAGCCAATCTACCCTGTTGCAAGTCTGCTGACCATGTCTCTACCCCTCACTTGGCCTGCACCCAGTGCTTAATTTGTAATAAAAGAGGCCTGGGGTTCAAGCAATTAGGTTCCAGGGCTCAAGCAATTTTTTTGCATTCATAACTGATGCAGCAAGCCCAGAGATGCTGGGGCTATGAATTGCCAAGCCTAGAGGTGCCAGGGCTCAGCCCTGGCAAGTCCTGGCACAAATTAAGCACTGCCGGCACCCAGTTCTTGCTATCTGTGCTGCTGCTAATAATAACTGCTCACCCAAAACTCCCACTGGCTGCCTAAAAGAGCAGTGCTAGGTCTACAGAGGAGTGAATACATGGGGAAGAGACCCATTACATGTGTTGTTAGGATTATATGTAAAGCATTTGATGTTACATAGCGTTTTTCCTCATTTGAAATCTTATGATATTGACTATTTGCATTTATTAAACTATAAAAGCATTAACTTTGCCCATACCAAGGAATCGGATGGTTCTGCGCACCAGTGGATTTATATAACAACAGTCTCCAGTTAATATGGTTTTTTCTTGGTTTTCAAAATCCCTTGTAGCTAGCTGTAGACAAAACACTGCAGTTTCTCCAATGATTATCTAAGGAGGGAAACAAAAGGGGAAGACATGGTACATCAGAGTTCAGCAAGCATAAATACTAATGATGTAAAGATGATTGTTTGTTTTTCTTGTCCTATCTTAACCCTTCCCCAAACCAAACAAACAGAAACCCACATAAGTGAGTCAAGTCCTGCACAGTTAATCTACTTGTGAAGGAAATATGCCATATAGCTTGTTTTAATTTATTTGCATAAAAAAAGAGGATAACCTTTCAGAACAGAGACTTAGCACTTATACCCACGACCCAGTTTTCAGGAAAAAAAATTCTTAAGTTGAGAACCATGGACTACATAATATCTGAGATATGTGTAAAAGCATCAGGAGTGAAGGGCTGATGCTGTGAGGTGCTGAACACTCAAATCCTATTGACTTAAATGGGCACTCAGCACCTCACAAGACTGGGCCCTAAATCATTTGATCACAGAGGAAATACTCACTCTAAAGCTTCTGTTCATATCAGGAATTGTTTGGCCACAGTAGGTATTTAAGGGACAATGATTGCCTATTTTGCTAAGCGAGTTTGTCAGGTTCGATATTAGCTTTGTTCATCACACTTCAACAAAATGTCATTGCTGATATCTGAACACTCACTGGGCCCTGTTTCACACTTTACAATCTTTACACAAAAGTGAATTTATATTTGAAATGCTTTTAGACCACACTTTTCAGCTCTGTCAGTAAGAACTGAAACATTCAGAAACACTAAACAAATGCCAAGTTGAAATTTAAAATAACCTTCATAAAGTGTACATCATGTTATCATATGGCTATACACTGCTCTTGATTTGCATGTGTATACACAACTGAAGTTTTTTATATAGAGTACTGAAGTTTTATACCATGTACAGTATTGTGGGGGTAAGGGTGGTCTAGTGAATAAAGTGTAGGGTTGAGATACTGTATACCAGGTCTACCAGGGTTCAGTTCACCATGTGATCTTAGGCGAACCATTTTACCTGTTTGCCCTCTGTTAACCCATCTACATAAAGGGGATATCAACACTTATACCCATTTACACAGCACTTTGAGAACTTTGGATGAAAAGCAGTATACCGAGTGCCTTGCTATTAAATTCTGGAAAGACAGCAATCCCTATTCAAATAAACAATGCTGTATTATGGCCCACATTTTTAAAAATCTTCACCTAGGAAATAATTAATCTTTTTTAAAACCACAAAATGTTTTTGAACAGCTTTATGAACTATATTATTCACAAAAGCATCACACCAGGATATAAAGAAAACTGCAGGCAAATGCAATGACGAAGTTGCAGCCAACAGACTAAATGCCACATTATCTGACTCAGTTATTATTTAGATTCCCTCAGAAAACTTTTGGCTAGATTGTGACATGGACCACTCATCCACACAGGGGAGGAAATGGCCTGTTTATAATACCGTAGTCCAAATAACAAACAACAACAACTCAGGAAGGCTACATGATTGGAATGGAAGGCAAAATTTGGTCAAATACACTGATCTTTGATTTTCTCTGATTGTAGAATCAGAAGCCAATCTAACTGCATACTTTTTAGATTAAACACAGTAAATCCAGTACACAAGCTACCAAACTTCCTTCCTCTCCATTTTGATCTGACTCAAATGTTCTACATCTGGGAAGTACAATTCCTCTTTCTATACTTCTTTTATCAAGTTATGATTCAGAAACAGTTAAGTACATGTGTAAAGTTTAACTCAACCTTGAAATCTGAGTTCATCAAAACAATGGCAATGATAACAAGAGCTAAGCTTAACAACTCCTACAGCTTTCATGAAAAAAGCTGTAAATATGTGAATGCGACGGCTGAAACCTCTTAAGATCTGTTATATGCTTCACAGGTTTCTCCCCACACCCTTGGAGAACAGAAAATCTAGGATTTAATATTAGACAGTTTGAACATATTGGACCAGATTCTTCCCTCCATTGTACCTGTGCTAATCCAAAGATCCTCAGTGGAATTACTCCAAATTTCCACATTGTAACTAAGAGCAGTATCTGGCCCTTAGTATGAATTCCTTACATGTGCATGTCATGAGACAGAATGCAGAACCTTCTGCTAGTGCTTGCAATGTCAAAGTTGCTTAGTATCTCTGAATATGCTGATCCATGGGAGGCATACATATGGGTTCCCCTTCTTGGTTTACAGGAAAGCTGGGGCTTCTCAGTGGGACAACCAGGCTTTCCAAGTATCCCATGTTTCTATGTGGGACAGGCGCTCTTGCCCATCACTTGGCAGCTTGTCTCTATTGGTTGTATGTGAACCCTGACAAGCAGCAGTGATGGTTCTCCTGTTGCACCTCCCATCTCTGTTGGTAGGCCAGGCAAAGACAAGTGCTACCCATGGCATCACCTGGATCACCTACATGGATCGGTCATCAGCTGTCTTTAAGACTGCGCCGATCACAACACATCTGCCATTCTTCTCCGCATTTGTCTGAAACATTTTACAATGTCATCTTCCCATCTTCTTGGAGGCCAACCAGGTGGTCTTTTCTGTTCTCGCGGGTACAACTCAGTAATGATTGCGGTCCACCTATTGTCCATGAACTGTGCTATGTGGCTGTGCGGTTTACCTGGCTGTCTTAGTAGGACTAGCAGGAGAAGGATGGTGCAAGGAAGGATCGTATCTTATTATATCTGCTTTCCACAACAATATCTTTCACACCGCTGCATTCTCTAATCATTTCATTTGGGATATGATCCAGAAGGGAAATTCTCAACATAGCTCGTTCCATTGCCCTTTCAGCTACTGACAGCCACTGTTCTTCTCTCTTTGTCAGTGCCCACGTTTCACTGCCATACAGCATGGCTGGCAGCACTGTTGAATTGAACGTGTGGTCTTGTCGATTTTTTCTTTGAGGATGTCCTTGATAG